GAACTTATTGAAGACTCAAGACAGCCATAACATTATGATTTTTTACAAGTGTATGTACACTTTTGACCACAACTGTATATTGAAACGATAAACAAGGCTCTTATGGTGCAAAAAAAAAAAAAAAAAAAGCAGAAGTTACAGACCACAAATGCTCAAGATTAATACATTTAAAAACAGCATTAGAAATGCAATAAATCACGTGTAATAAAAAAAGACATGTAGCTATTGTCAAGTTTTTATATTTTACAGGCAGATGTTGGGTTATTTTTCCTCCCAATTCAACTTGGGATATATTGTTGCTATGTGTAATTTGGAGGATACAGAAAAATTAGGCCAAGAATATTCAGCTGTATGGAAGAAAAACCTCCAACCAAAAAACGGGAATGGAAATGTTTTATTTCCTGTTTTAGCTCCACTGTTGAGTTTGCATTTAAAACTGACACACTGAAAAGCTCATCCAGTCATACGATCTCAAAACAATGTCAATGTTCTTTATGTTGACATAAAAACATGAAATATGTTTTCTAATACATTTAAAAAAGGCTAAAGTATGCATGTGTGGTTAAAAACGTGTTAAAAGAATGCGGTAGAGTTGGCTTGAAATCTCTAAAATTGTATTTGCACATTATTATTTGTAAGGAAGTAGAAAGCAAAAGTCACAATATTCCCACTTTCCAAACACTCTGGTGCACAGCACTGATTTAATACCAACATATTTTAACAAATATCCAATTTTTACCTGATACTCTGCATTTTAAGCTAGCTATTTGAGCTCTGTGTTTGTCACCATGTTTCTCTCTGTATGTAATTATTTCTCAGGTTGCCAAGGCCATCGACCTGGATGAGATTTGGTACTTTGGATTTCAGTTTACCGACAGCAAAGGAATCACCAAGTGGCTGAACCTTGAGAAGAAAGTGAGATGTTGTCTTGCATGTTTTGGTTCATAAATATTGTTGATTCATCCATTTCTGACAACAGACATTAAACATTTTGTTTAACTGCCTTCCTTTGCGATGCACGCTGCCTTCCGAATCGCGCTTTTCCAGAACTTTGCAGAACTTTGAGCGCAACTCCATTCGAGTCGTTTGCTAAAACAGTTACAACAGGAAAATAGGGCAAGCCTCATCACTTAATTTATCCAGTGTTAAAAATAAGACGGAGAGAATGTTAAAAGCATGTAACTTGCAACTCTAAATTATGTTTTATTATTATCATTCCAATATTGAACTCTCTTTTTTTCACATTTCAACCACAAACTTCAATATGATCTTAATGCCATTTTATGTGAAAGATTAGTAAACAGTAGTGCATAATTATCAAAGTGAAAGTAATATGGGACAGGTTTTCCCAAACATTTTATAAACAAAAATCTGAAAGGTGTGGTGCACATCTGTTTTCAGTGCCCCTGAATAAAAAGCATTAGCTACAAATACATCTAGCGTATTTACAAGCTTTTTTATTGTGTTTTAAAAACACTTGATTTTGATTTTAAATTACTGCCAGACTTGCCTCAGAGTAGAACCTTGATTACATTTAAGTCTGGCTCCATTGTAGCTCAATTCACCATTCATCCCTGGTTTTTGATCAGCATGCTACTTATTATTTATGCTGTCTTTATTTTTTTTATTATTATTATATCTCATTTCCTCGTTTACCACTGCATGCTTAAATCTTTAATCTGCGTTTTTAATCTTCTGTGTAGGTGTTGGCTCGGGTTGCAAAGAATCAGAGTTCCCTGCAGTTAAAGCTCAGAGTTCGGTTTTACCCAGAGGATACAGAGAGGGAGCTGATCCAAGACGTCACCAGGAGGCTCTTCTTCCTGCAGGTGAGGGAGGACATTCTCTCAGGAAATATCTGCTGCCCTCCAGATGCTGCCAAGATCTTGGACTCATGCGCAGAAAAGTATGAGCAGAGCAACCAGTGAGTAACCACCTACTATGCATTACGCCTGTGAATTCACTGACACATTAACAGACTTCATAAATAATTTGATACCTGAAGTAACGAGAAAACACCTGCTTAGAATCATTTAGATCAGCATCTGTTAAAGTGGGGGCCCACCAGAGGGCGCTAAGGGGGTCTCAGAAAGTTTGAGGGAATAATTCAAAAATATATATTCTGGAAGAATGATGATTAAAATTATCTATTTATTAAATCATTTTATCTTGTTTACGAAAGTCATTTTTAATAAATGAATTCATGAAATTTGTTTGTCAAAATCATATATGTAGATATATATATATGTGTGTGTGTGTCTGTGTGTATAATGATATAAAATCATCAAATCAAATCTGTTTATATATATTTTTAAATATATATATATAAGTTAAAATAACTAATTGAAACGTTATTTGACTATCTCATTCTAATTGGTTCATTGTCAAAATTGCTATGCTAGCTCGAGGAGCTAAATCCTCCTCAAGATTGTCCGGTAGGTGGCGGTATAGACATAAATAACATAGATCCAAATAGACATATTATAACCCATGGGTAATAACTATTTTGTCTATGGGGGGCGGTAAATGCACCATAAGTTGGTTTGCCAACCGCCAATAAAACCCAAAAGAAGAATAATCGCTCCTCAAGCTAGCATCGCAAGTGCAAAATGCTAAGATTTCTGCTCAAAAAAAACAAAAAGATTTTTTTTGGCTCTTGTGGCTTTTATTTGATAGTTAATTGACAGGAGAGAGAAGGGGGAAGACATGCAATAAAGGTTGCTGAGGCCAGGAATCGAAGCTGCGACAGCTGTGTCGAGGACTAAGGCCTCCATATGTGAGTTGTGCTTAACCTCTGTGCCACCACCGCACACCCCAAAATATGAATATGTCTTACTAAAACAGGGAAGAGGCTGTGATCAAGTACCTGAAGATCGCACAAATGCTGGACATGTTTGGTGTTACTTACTTCAAGATGAAGGACAAGAAGAAACAGAACTGTGGCTGGGAGTGCATGCGTTTGGTATTAAAATCTACCCAAAAGACAACAAGTAAGACAGTTAGCTGGCCTATATATTTAGTTTCTGCTGTGCAAAAGCTACATTATAATTGCAACATCACTAACTGAACATATTAATAGCATTCGGCCGTGTTTACATGCAGTTGTGGACATGAGGTCAACAAACTAGCATTGAAACCTCAGTCATTGACCTCGGTTGCCCTTTCCGTTTGAGTTGCACATTTGACCACACTGACAGTTGTTCCAAAAGGCCGTTGACACAATCCTCTTCATTTCGCTATGGCAAGGATTCAACATCCCCAAATGTTGTTTTCACAATGCATTTGCTTGTTTCACTCAGCTGTCTTAAAATTATGTATTTTTCTAGATTAACCCCTTTGAGTCAATTTCTGTGGGATGAAATCAGAAGAGTAAGTTACGACTCTAAGAAATTGAACATCACTACGATGGGAAAGAGAGTCCCTGTAAGTACATAGTGGTTCCTATGATCTGTCTAATGTGTTAACTGTGATGGCATATTAGGGAAAAAAAAAAGGAAGAAAATTTCCACCAAAAGAATTCAGGAATTTTGATATTAGTCTCAGAAATTTTCTAGGATAAAAATAAGGAAATTTCCACATTTTGAAAGTCAAAACATTTTCTAGCAAAAGAATGCAGAAATGTTGAGATTATTGTCTCGAAAAAGCTTTTGAAACTCCAGGAAATTTAGAAAAAATCTCTAAATGTCCATTCAGGAATCTCCAAGACCCCCCCTCCTCCCCACCACCCAAATTTCTGAAATGTTTCTTTTTTTGACAAAATTTCTGAGAATAGTCTCAAAAAAAAAATTTTTTCCTGGAATTTTTCTGAGATTAATTAAATATTTCTGAGTTTCCTTTCTTTTCAACCTACTCCGAAATCTTGTTTTTCTTTAATTAGTCTCAAGAATTTCAGAGGCTTTCGGTGGAAATCTACTCCTCCTTTTTTTTCTATCTGCAATGATCCTGATGTGCCATCGTAGTTAACGGACTAACAGGGTTTTCAATTCCCTTTGTAAGTTGAGCAGTGTTTCATGAAGATTTTTTTTTTTGTAGATTTTGCAGGTGTACCCTGAAGAAGGTTCTCACAAATGCAAGAGCATCTTGGAGCTTGCTATGGGCTACCACTTGTACTGTCGCCGCAAAGAGCCCGACAGCATCGAGGTTCAGTAGTTGAAGGCTCAGGCCAGAGAGCAGAGAATGTGGAAGAGATCATCAGAGTTGGGGATTAAATAAGCCCAAATTGAACTGATTTAGACAAAGAGGTTATACAAGACTTCTTTAATTAGTATCCTTATAAATCTGAAAGCTTTACCATCCTGGAACCATGTCAACACGAGTGACATCCTCAGGTCATTCATTTAGATCATGCCATCTTTAAAAGATTTCTTAAAAAGACAAAATAGGCTTCTCATTTTCTCCAGAAGTGGGTCGAGTTTTCTTTTCTTTCACGCCAGATTTCTTGGGATAACTTACATAAACTTAGCCTGGGTGTTGGCTTCCTGTGCAACTCCGCTCAATTCAAATCTCGTCTCACAGGGACAGTCTGGGATTTCTCCCATTTGGATTCCTAACCAGCAAACACAAGGAGGAGTTGTTAAGTGATTTTACAATTTGAATTTGTTCACTCCGCGTTGGCCTCGCTCCCAAATACCAAATTAAGTTCAGCTCGGCGCTCATCTCTCTGCAGTGAGGGATGGTTGTTTACAGCACAGACAATTTCCTGTAAGCTTCACAGGGCTGGAATCCTGTTAAAGGTGTTGGGAGATCATCACATATAGTCACTTTCAATAAAGTGACTATATGCTTTTGAAAACAACCTTTAGGATTGCACACTGTTCTACATTCTGCACAATATTTTTTTTTTCTTTTTATTGGTTTGATGTAGTATTCTAATTTTAAATGTCATGTTTTCATTAACTGTAAGTGGAAAGTCATCATAATTAACAGAAATAAAGGTTGGAAAACACCAGTTTGCATGTAATTAATCTACATAATGTGTTTCACCATGTTTTCACACATTTGTACATTTCAATAATATTCTAATTTATTGAATGGGCTTGTAAATCAGATGGGTGGCAGATTATCTAAAAATAACATTAAGTCAAAATATATTTGGGGTCCTCAAATATGGACCCCACAAAAAAAAATTTAATAAATATTTGTGAGATACTATAATTTTAAATCTGGGCAGGGTTGTACTTGTTCTAAACTTGACACCAAACCATTATGACCCGCAGTATTAAAGATGGCTAATAAGTTTAAAAGCACAAAAGTAACAAGGTTAGCCATTTTAAGGTACAACTTTCTTAAATCTTTCATGTAGCTTTCATTAAAAATATATTCTTAAATATATTTGTTAAGACTGTCACTGTGTCGTGACAATAAGGTATGAGACATGTGAATAAAATGAGCTCCTCTTCGTTCTCCCAGTGCTAACCAGAAACAACCAATTAGGGCCCGGAGGCGGGTCTTAGTGTAACCTGGTTGTATTTCTCTTTTGTTATAATTACATAAAATGTTATGTTTTGTACTTTTGTTTTGTGTAGGACTTGGAGCGGGCAACCTGTAACACGGTTGTTTTCTGTTTGTTGTTCTTGTCAGAATAAATCGAGAAACCATCCATTTTAAAGAAATCCCGTGTCACGGCTCTGATCATTCAATAAAACCAGTCCAAGGCAGAAAGGATCTGGTTACATTAGCGGTGTCAATCATGCACTGCTCCACTCCCCCACATTGCTCTCTCCTATGATACAGCTTCTCTCCCTGCTAGCAGAACTGGTTGTGAATGCTAATGCTAGTTAGCATAGCTAGCATTGACCAATGTAGATGGGATAAACCGTTTTTCTAGTAACAGTGGGTTGTTGCTATGCTATTAGCACATTTAACGTTCATGAGTGTGATTGACAGTGCTAAAAACACTCCTCCTGACTCTGATTGGTTGCTTTAGACCGGGAGTGGTACATTTGTTCAGACATCAATAGTAGCTCAAGGAGGAAGTGGAGGAGATACACTTTTTTCCCACACATTTTCCGTCTAATATACTGTCACGACATGGTGACAGTTTCAACAAATATGTAAAAAAACAAAACAAACAAAAAAAACATATCTCTTAGTTACTGCAGTTTTGAGCTTTTTAGAAAGAAAGAATAATTTTGGTAACAGGTTAGGTTGAGCAGCTTGGTGAAACACAGTCATACGACCAAGATTTATCTCAGTGTGAGCAATATGCGGACCAACAACACTGTAAACCCTCCACCTGCTGTTATGCCGATCCATTTCCTTCATCTCCAAACAAGCTACAGAAATAGCACGGCCAGTGGTTTTGTAGCCCGGCGCTCTCCGATCAAAGGTCACATGGAGGTATTGGGCACTGACACAGGTGATCTCCTACGGGTGGAGCTTTTTGTCACACCGAAGGTAAATCCGTCGGTTTGGTGCCAAAGTCGGTCCTCCCACATCTCCGCGAGCGATCTCCTGAGTTCAAAGGACACAAGTCTTGCCCCTGGGCTCGCCCGTGAGAGGCTGTCTTTATCAGGTGGAGGTTCTGCTGGGAGTTGGCCACTGCAGCCTCGGTCAGCCTGGGATACACTTTCCTCTGATAGGAGCCACAGACCACAGCCAAGATGCCCAAACAGGTAGGATTCCTGCTGTTTTAAGACACGTTATTACTTATTGCTTTAGCCACACGTCTTCTTCCTGGTTTGAAAACAGCACATTGAGGTTCTGTAGAAATCAAACCCTGCTCGTAATGCTTCAATAAATCATTTATGATGACCAGTGTAAGAACAAAAACAAGTCGGAATTGTGGAATTGCACCCGACTTTTTTACGCTGATGATATTTTCTTTGCTTCTTTCTGTTGTAAGTTTTACCAAGAGCCAGTGATCCTTCTTGTCATTTACTCATTAACCAAATGTAGAGTTTGACCCATGCTGCACACATTCCTGACTCTGAATTACCCTCCAAGTGTTACTTGAACTCAATGAATTTGCCTGTGGGTTAAATATGGTCATCCACGTAATGAAAAAAAAAAAAAAAAAAAAAAACTAGTGATGATATAAATGATATATATAAATGATTTCTTTGAGACAATAATGACATTCGCCAAATTCTTCTGGCTTCGGGCAAAAAACCAATAATAAAAAGTGGGCGGTACAACACAAAGACGGTTGTTTTCAGAATGGAAGAAAGATGCGCCTTTTCTTTGAATCTGGACAAGATGAACATTTTTATTAAGTAGGAAGAAGTATGCCAGAAAATGCATAAACAATTTTATTTCAACTAAATAAGGAAATGCCAAAAGCATGCTCTTCTAATTTTTGTCCTTGGATTGATGTAGGGCTGACTGTACGACTGTTGATTGTGTCTTTGTTTCCACCAATGAGGAAAAAAAAAAAAAAAATATATAGTAGAAAAAAAAAAGAACAGAATGACATTCACCAGCAAATCTTGACTGTGTGGTTTCAAAATGGTCAGAAATGGTTGATCAAACTAACACAACAGAATCTCTAATGATTCATGAGTCTCAAAGTCTTCAAGTAAAAGTTACTCAAGTGTTCAGCGTGAAGCTGATAAGATGGGTCAAGCCACACTTTACAACAGGACCTATGGTTGTACTTTTATTGACACTGCAAGGAGACAGCCTTGACAAATACTTTTATGTTTAATATCCTGGTCTAGAAAATGCTGAAAACATATTTCATTACTTGCCTTCTGGCTTGATTTGAGTAAGCAATCAAAAAAATGCATTCATTTTTTGCAAAGTCACAACTGGCGCTATGCACGTACGGCGCTAACATCGCATGGAGCAAAATGCGGCTTTCTTGCTTCCGCTTTGAGTTACCATGGCAGCTAGAAAAGACAAAGTCATATTTTAGAAGCAAATAAAGCAGTACCAGGAACATTATTGTCTTCCAAATATAACATGCTTTTAAGTTTTCATGGATTTCCAAACAAACCTGAATTAAGAAAAAACGGTAGCTTGTAAATATTTGTCATTATCAGTTAAAGCTAAGCCGCACAGCAAAGTTTGCAGCCTTCATTCACTCCAGTAGCCTAAAACTACCGGGGGAAGCCGGATGGTAAATAAAGGAGCCGTCCCTGTGTTACTTCCATGGAATCACTTCTGTATTCGGCCTGAAAGAGGGAGTGTATGGGAACGAGAGAGCAGACCAGAGCCAGACAGCCGAGCAACTTATCCGCCCGTACACAATGCTGTAAACAACATCCGGTTTGAGCTCTAAACAAGAAACATGCAAAAGTAATGAAACGAAATAACACAGAGACCTTAAGGAGCACGGCCATACTTTTCTAAAAGCAACAACTCTGAACCTGAACAGTCAGCTGAACTCAAACTCTGACACCAGTGCTGCCGTACTTTTAAGCTACGGGGCTTGTTGTGATTCCTTGTGCTTCAGAAGCAAAAAGCCCAAACCGTAATCTCCCCAGTTACTTGGTCTCTGTTTGACATTAACAACAATAAACACAAAATAAGGTAAAAACATTGTCCGTTAGAACGGATAAAAATGTTTAGATACTTAAATAGCACAATTTTACAAGAAAAATGTCAGAGAATATTGCCTACTAGCATAAACTAAAGCTAATGTTAGCCACAAAGTTTAAAGAAAGTAAAACTCACCTTCGTATCCGTGAATGTATAATAACGAGGCGTACATCTTAAAACCTTTCTCCAGCTTACTTGTTGGGGCTCCATATCAATGTGTATCATTAATTGTTACCTTGGTCAAGCACCCAGTGTAAAATGCCATTTTCAATAGACCAGAAACGACCGAGCCGCTATTCCCCGAACACGGAAGCTGACGTGCAAAGAGCCTACTGAGAACAAATGTGGAAACCTGCTAAAAGCTGGTCGCTGCAATAATAAAGATTTTGAATTGCACATCGACAAAGGCGCACATAATTCTTGACATACCCCGAAGGGACTTGTCACTCCAATGCCAGAATGAGACGCCGACGTTTCGTCTGATGGTTGATAGATGATGAGCGTTAGAGCCATGGCTGAATTACGAATAGATCTCTTGTAAGTGTTTATGTCTGTCGCTCACTCACTGCCATGATTTTTAATGTCTTATCGCGCGAACAAGCGTATTCGCGTGATTTTAATTTAATGTGAAATGGAAAAGCGAAATTCTGTTTGTTCGACAGTAGTAAAATATAGACAAAGATTCGCGTCCATTTGTAATGGAAGCGCAACTATTGCTCTGGAAATTGAACAAAACTTAATAATTCAAATATGTCTTACGTGTATTAATGATCCCGTGAGGATTTTCTTCGGCATAAAAATATATTTTTCCAATACTATTGTGGTATATGTATATTCTCTTGTGCTTTTTGCCATCACATTGCAGGAGTTTAAAATCCCGGCCCGTGTTTGCTAGAATGACAAATGCATTATGAAGATACCAGATAAAGATGTTATCTCATACATGTGATCATGTAAGGTGGAAACAATTTAAAAGGCTAGTGATGGTTCCATAATTGCATGTTCCATTGGTTCCTGCCCAACCTTTAGTGTGTTTATCTTTATGGCAGTCAGGGTGTATTCTGGTGTAACTTCATAAAACTGTTCTGTATGTGCTACAAACCCCATTCCAATCTATGTTCTTGTGCTGTTTTTTTTTAAACCAGTTAATCAAAACCAAACCTCTTTTTTTTCAATTTGTGGAAATCCATTTTTATACAAACTCAGTTTCAATACTGTTTGCTGCAACACAGGCTGATCTCGCAATGCCTTCGTGCAAGAAGCAAGTACAATGATATTCACCCTCATGTTCGCATGGCTGGTCTAAAGTCTAATGAGATAGTGAGCAATTATGGTTTATGAATAATCCGGTTAACAGATCCACATTAAGGGTGTGCTTTCAGCAAATCGGTCCGTTATTTATGTTTTCCATTTGTGGATGTGAATGCAGCCAAACACAGAATTTAGGCAGATTTAGACACATTTGTGGTTTAAAGAATGAAAATAAAGAAATCATTGGAAAGAA